TAACTATTTCAAATGAAAAAGTGTGCGTTGGGCATTTACTTCAGTGGTGGAGCATAGAGCTAGCTCTGGGTTATATCCCCACAAGGCTAGGCATCAACACCAATTTGACTAAAGAATTAGGGGAATTAGGCTCACTGGTTCTTCACTAAAAGCCTTATATTTACCTTTCAGAGCAGTTTACCTAAGGAATAACAATGATAATGGCTCACAGTTACCCAGTTCTTGCTACATCCTAGGCAAGATTCTAAGTGCTTTGCATATGTTAATTCATTTAATCCTCACAACTCTGTCAGGAGAACACAATTACTATTCCCATTCTACAAATAAAGAAACTGATTAAGTGAAAATTCAAAAGGAAAGAAGTAATTAAAATAACACCTCCTTATAGAAAGAAAAGTAAGATGCAGGCACCACTTAGTGGCACCGCCTGTCATCCCAGCACTCCAGAGTTCCAGGCAGGAGAATTGCTGTGGACTTCAAGACCAGCCTGAGCTACAAAGTGAGTTCAAGGCCAGCCTGAACTGTATAGTAAAACCCTGTCTCATAAGAAAAGAAAAAATAAAAAGCAGAAGGTGGTGACTAGCTTATAACCCAGTTCTCTGGGAAGCTAAGGCAGGCAAGCAACAACTTTGAACCCAATTGGTTAATTTAAGAAGGACTTTTTAAAAAGAGCTGGAGGGGATGGGGATTTAGCTCAGCGGCACAGTACCTGCCAGGCAAGCGCAAGATCCTGAGTTCTATTCCCGGTACAGGGAAAAAAAAAAAAAAAACAAGCCGGGCGTGGTGGTGCACGCCTGTAATCCCAGCTCTCGGGAGGCTGAGGCTGAAAAACTGTTGTGAGTTCGGGAGGCTGAGGCAGGAGGATTGTTGGGAGTTTGGGACCAGCCTGGTCTATAAAGTGAGCTCAAGACCAGCCTGAACTGCATAGCGAGACCCCATCTCAAAAAGACCAAAAATAAAAATAAAAAAAGAGCTGGGGATGTAGGGCAGTGCTGAATGGCCCTTAGTTCAATCCCCAGTACAGTAAAAACGACAGATAGGGAGGGGAGCAGGCAAGGAGGAAGGAAGAGAAGGCCTGCTTGGAAATAAAGTGAACCAAGAGACATTAGCAGATCAATCCACAAAGCTGTTTCAGAAGCATCAATAAATATGTCATTCATAGCCAGAAGAGCAAGGAATGAGGGCACATCTGCATTAAAGATTTTCACAGAACATTACAACTATTCTAGTCGCATATTACCTTGATCTTTGCTTCATCAGGTCCCTTTGTGGACTCCTGCACTTTGCTGCCCTGTTTCTCTCTTTGCCTGTAGGTCTTCATAACTCCACATAAAAATGCACTTTTGTTCTAAAACAGGTAAATAATTAAAAAAAAAAAGAATTACCAGGAATCTCTGAAGCATCAAATACATTATTAAATTCAAATTTCTGAAGACCAAAATTTTTGGCAGAGCATAGTGGCACATGCCTGTAATCCCAGAACTCAGGAGGCTGAAGCAAGAGGACTGCCATGGGTTCGAGGCCAGCCTGGACTACATAGTGAGTTCAAGACCAGCCTGAACACATAGTGAGACCATGCCTCAAAAAACAAAAACTGAAGACCAAAATCTAAAAATATTTATTCATTTAATAAATACTTGCTGAGTGGTTACTATGTGTGAAGACTGAGCAGACAGCACTAAGACAGTGCAGACCTTAGGGTTTATTGTCTATACTGGGAAGTCTTCCATTTGTTGATATTTAACTGAATCTGGACTATTTTGCCAGATGGCTGAAGGCCTTCCTCCCACCAACATTATTTCCCTCCAAGATAATAAAACAGGATCAGATAATACAAAAATGTAAAAAATCTGAGCAATTCAAACATGTAAAAACCCAATAGTAACAATCATCCAACCTTGGTTTTAAGTTTTTAAAGTAACTTACTACACACAATGCAAAAGGGAGATTTTTGCTTTACAGTTGTACCTCTGAAACTCTTTCCTGGGGCTGGGGATATAGCTCAGTGGCATAAGCGCCTGCCTGGCAAGCGCAAGGCTGTGAGTTTGATCCTTGGTAGCGCAAAAAAAAAAAAAAAGTGCTCACTTCAGCAGCACATATACTGAAACTCTTTCCTATGGGTATTTTTTTCCCCAACTTTTCTAAAGGACAAGTAGTCACAAACAAGACTACTCCTCAAGGTGGGGGAAAATACTGTAATGGGAAAATAATTTCAGAAAACTAACCGTTCAAAGACATTTCTGAGAATAACCTTACCTGAACATGTGATAAGTCACTTTCCTTGAACTGTTGCAGCACAGACAGAGCTCCTTCTTCATTAAACTCCCTGAGAGCATCAATTGCTCTTTCATCAAGATCGACATAAGCTACCAATCCTAAAAATTAAATTAAAATGGGGTAACATTATTGCAATAAAAGGGGTAAGCTAAACTGTCCTATTAAAAGTCTGTTAAGAATTGTATATACTGTTACTAACTACATATGCAGCTATACAAATACTATATAAAAAAGCTGAGTGCAATAACTATGAAAATGACAGAGAAAATGTCAACAGCTATAAACATTAATTCCACCCACAAAAAAAGCCTAAAACTCATTTCCAACTCACTATTAAATCTTAAAAAGTTAAATCTGATGTACACACTGTACTACAGATTAAACATTCATGTAACAAATTTTGGTTTCTGTTAAGAATGGTTAAGAACACGCTGTATTTCCCAAGGATAAACCTTCAAAGTATGGATTGCCATAGCTGTTTACTACATAAGAGGTGGGAAAAAATATGAGAACCAATTTTATTGTTTCCACTCTCCAAAAAGTGTCAAAAGCTTTCCCTCCTCAGCACCAATGATAAACTGAAATCCATTTAACTGAACATCTATTTTGCTGCAATCAGAATGTGGAAAGGCATAATTTAAAACTCTTTGAAAATTCAAATGCAGCTTGATTAATCAATTCTGAAAGTCATATTTTAAGGCATTCTTTTTCTTCTGAGGTAACAAGCTGAGATTTAAAAGATGCTGCGGCATTCACAACACTGTCAATAATGACAATATTTTTCAAATGGCAGTAAGAATTTTATGGACTTACAAGTAAACTATATAGGAAATATACGCACACAATTCTACATATGTAGTATTGTACATTTAACTCCACAAGAACAACTACTAAGTTTTTTGGGTTTTTTCTTGGGGGGGAGGTGGCCAGGAATTGAACCCAGGGCCTTTGCACTGAGCTATTTCTCCAGCCTTTTCTACTTTTTTTGAGACAGAGTCTCACTAAATTGCCCAGGCGGGACTCAAGACTTGCAATCCTCCTGCCTCAGCTTCCTAAAGTGCTGGGATTATAGGCATGTGCCACCACACCAGGGATCTACCAAATTTTAAATAGAATTTCTTGATACTGTTAAGTCTGTGTTACAATTTGTCTCTATATATAAGTAATCTATTTCAGAATTGATCCAATGGAAAATGGAAATATTTGACAGATTAAGCCCACATGAACTAACTCAAAAGTGACTCCATTTTGGTAAAGCCAAAAGGAACTTTATTTCTTACAGTAAATAAATTTTAAAGATAAAGTAGTTGCAAAATTACTTTTTAAAGCTCAAAATGAGCATGCCTGAATAACTGGGAGTTTTCCTACTTTAATATTCAATACCACCACCCAAAGCCACAACTCAGGACACTCATCAATCCATTCTGTCAATCCAATCCTATACCCAAACCATCAGCCTCTTAGCAATGACAAAACACTCTCCAGGAGAGCATCTCTAAGCAGATCACTGCCAATTCTCTAGGCAGACTGTCACAGAAAGTTCCTGAGGACTGATTTTCAAATGAGACCATTACCCAGGAGTCATTTTTGTAAGCCATTGTAAGTCATTTTAGTCTAAAACATCCTGAGCTGGCCAGACTTAACAATTTTTAAGGATGACAAGGTAAAAATAAAATCCAGCTTGTCTACTGTAGTGAAGACACATTTGTGAGTGAGACAATTCAGTTTGTTCAAAATCAATCTCTCTCTCTCTTTCTCTCTCTCTCTCTCTCTCTCTCTCTCATGCTCTCTCTCAATAGGCACACAAAACACAGCGGAAGAAAGTTTCCATCTATGGCCCCAAAGGACAAGGACACATTTATTTACGAACAACGCTCCCTAAGGATAAATATTTCTCTCTTTAAAACTTCAAACCGCTTACAACCAACCATATTAAGATGTCAAATTTGCTTTAGCACTTAACCATGGGACTTCTGGATTTTAAAAAAAGCAGCTGTTACAAACCAAACACTTCCAAATTATTGAGAGATGTGGATTTCTGTCTATTTGACACTAGACAGGCCACAAACTCTCAAGGAGTCTGACATTTAATATCGTTTCAGACAATACAGTCTAACTACTCCTCTTATTACGCCACCTAATAAGACCTAAGCTATTTTAACAATCACTTTTTAAAAGATAAAAGTAGAAAAGTAAAAGCAAAATGATCACTAATTTCAGTTAAGGGGGAAAAAATGCAAAATTTGGTATGCTGAAACATACATTTTAATTGGTGGTAAATCTAAAACAAATTGATGTACTGTTCTGTAACAACTAAGACTGCATATTCAACACTAAGAAAGCTTCAAAATAATGAAATAAGAATATCAAAGTCAAACCCAGTACTGTATGTCCTCAATGAAGGGAAAGTAACAATATTCAACTCTACACAGATCAGAAACAGTAAGCATTATTTAACCTTAAAAAAAATCTATAAAATTCAAAGTGGTTTGCCCTCACTTTCATAACCAGTCAGAAACAAGAAATGCATATTATACCTGTCTGAAATATTTCATCAAGTCTTTCTGCCACCTTCTGTGGGAGGCCTGCCTCTATCAGTGTCTTGTAGTGTTCTGTGTGAGTTACACTGGAAGTATCCATTGGTTCTTCCTCTTCTTTTAACTGTACCGCATTACCATTCACCTGATTAGCCATTTTATTATGCTGCTGGAAAAAATTCAGGAGCTATATTACATTAAGCCAGAAATAACTAGTTTGTAGGACAATGCATGATTTATCTAAACTAATTTGTACACATGCTGCTAATAACCTCTATCCAAAATAATACTTTATGCCTTTGGTGATGTATCTGACCTAAATTTTCAGTAATAATTCTGTAAAACTGTAGAAAATGTACATGGAAGCATAGATTTTAAGGAACTTCATGTACACTCAGGTTAATAAAGGCTTGACTTTATTGAAGGTAGAATGCTCATTAACAAAAGCAGCTGTTGTGTCCTGGTGAGCAGATCAACAAATCACAAGATCCTAAAAGCCCCTCAGCTCTCAATTCATATACAGTTTTTAGAAGTTTGGTTTAAAAACAGAATGAACACCCACAGACCACTTAATCAAGTTTTAAGAACTTGCCAATTTTCCTGGCTCTGCTTCAAATACAATATAGGTGTGAAATAAGTCCCTGCTGTCTCTAGTTCAACATGCTGATGGCTTGGGTTTTCTCCACCTCACTTAAAACAAAAAAACACAACTTTCACATTAAGTTTTACTCTAAGATTAATTTGCTATTCCCATTCACAGATTTAAAAGAAAAAATGACCAAGTTTAAAAGCTAAAGACAATTGTTTTAAATCTACATAAAAGTGAGCTATAATTGAGGTTGCTTCTTTAAAAAAAATCACGAGTATATATTGAATTTTTCAAATCAGTAAAATAAGTATGTAAAAACATATTGAAGAATGGACAACTAACTTCTTCCAAATAATTTCAACAAACACTACCTAATTTGAACAAACTTCAGTCCTATTCCTGAGGTTAACCTCTCAAAAACCATTTTGTATGTTCAGCCTATACGTTATGTTGGAACGAACCAATTCCCTGAAGAGAGTAAGTAATAAAACCATACAAGACCAGTCTCTATATTGCCTCAAAAGTCAGGGAATTAAAGTGCATTTGTCTATGGAAAATTATAATGTGAAGATAACAGGCCAGCAGAATAACGACATTGCAGCACACACTGAAATAAAAGACACAAAGGAGGATCTCAAGAAAATGCCTTTTTCTTGAAGAAACTCAAGAAACCTCATCAGCTATAAAGAAAATACAAATCTCCTTTAAAAAGGCACTAAGACAACTTAAGATAACCACACTTCCAGACTGCTTATCAAACGCTGTGCAAATGCACCAGGTGCAGTTCTCTGTCTTGAAACAACTTTTCAAAGTCCACGGTTAATGAAAAAGACCAAGGCGGGAAAGAGGTAATAGCAGGAAAAAGGAAAATGAAGGAAGTGTTACTCTGAAAATGAGATAAATACCAATGACTTCTCATGATCACAAAACAGTAAGACTGGATAGTTCTCTCATGTCTACAGAGACGCAGACTGTGGTTCAATTCTGGGTAGCTAAATGCTTCAAAATCTCTTTGGGAACATATAGTTCTGTTCTTCCCAGCACCCCCGCCCCCATACTACCTCTTAAGATCATCAGAACTCAGAAGTTCTCAGTATCACAAGACCCTCACAGCATTGCACCTGGGAATACTACTAGTTACAGAAAAGAGGCAAATTTTTAACAGCAAAGTTCAATGACCATCTGTTAAGGTTTTCTTTTTTTTTTTTTTTTTTTAATGTGTAAAGCAAAAAGACAAATTATGTATTAAGCACAAGATAGAAATATTCATGACCACCAATTCATTGCAAAAGATCGAGAAGTTGAAACTGGGTTAAAATTTTCCAAACAAAAGTTTGTAAACGTTAACAAAAAATGTAAAATAATTAGATTCCAGAAAATAAAACCTTCAGATCAAGGAAAAAAACCTCTCTTCAAGCCGAATACAAAGTACTCATTTAAAAGACTTTTATGTCATTTGAGACCATTTAAAACTCTTGTCAATTCAACACAATGCCACATAGCCAAACCATATTTCTGGATGCAGCAAATATACTAAGGTGACTGGAGTCGTTGGACCTACACATTTTTTTTTGCAAAAAGTAGGCAATTTAAATAAGATTAAAAGGGGCTGCTGGGAGATTTGTAAGTCCGTACTAGTTCCTCCCTGATATTTTTCTGAACATCTCTGTGCAAATTCTTCATGTCAAGAGACGGGCTTTTAAAGAACTAACGAAATGAAATCTAGCGGGTTCTCTCACGGCTCAGGAGTGTCAAGCCCTTACCCTACGACTGACTCATGGGGCATAAATCCAGCCTCTTGAGAACAGTAAAAATCTCTAACAAGTCATGTGAAAGGGCTGTACCTTTCAAAACCCTTTGGCTTCGTTATTTAATTTTGGCAATACGGTTACTACCGTGTAAGAAAAAGGATCGCTTTTCCAATTTGGTGCGCCTCTGACATTCTCAGAATTCTCTCGGGCGCCACGTGAAGCCTAAGTTTCACGGCCTCTCATAGTCATTTTTTCCTTCAAATCTCGGCTCGCAGCATGCAGAATGGGGGAGGGGAGGGAGGCTTCCCACAGAAATCTGCCTTCCAGCTTCTGCTCACACACAAAAAGTTTTCTCCGGGCTCAGGTATCCCTGGGATCTGCACCCCGCCCTCTGCCCACCCCACCCGCTCAAGCCCGACCCGACCCGTTCGTTGATCGACCCATCCCACTCGAAACCCGGCCGGGCCGAGACGGGAGCGGGCTGCCCCGGCGTGGGGAAGCCGATGGGACCCGGACGCCTCGGGTTTTTCGCAGGGCCGGGCCGTGCTGCAGGGAGCGGCGGGCGGAGGCGGGAAAAGCACGCCCGGCGCGGCAGGCCGCGGAGAGGGCGCCCGGCGGGCCGGACGGAGGGACGGGCACGGGAGGGGGGGGGGGGGATGAGCGCGGGCCAGGAGGCACCTCGGCCGGGCTGGGCCCACAGCGGCACGCCGGAGGCCGAAGCCGCCCCCAGCCCATCCCCACCCCCACCCCCGGGGCCTCGGAGCGAAAACGAAACTAGGGACAAGGCGCCGAGCCTGGGCCGGACCCAGTCGGGTCGGATCGCAGCTCCCGGCTCCTCCCCCCAAGGGCCGGCGCAAGACTCACCAGGGCAGAGCTGGGGCCGGCGGCCGGGCCCGTGAGAATCAGCGCGAGGCGCTTTGAAAACGACTAGAAATGGCGCGCGCGCCACCCCCTCCCCCCCTCATGGACAGAGACGCGATCCCGGCAGCACGCGGGGTTTCCCGGAACTGCTTCCAGGGACTCCGTGGCGCCGAGCAATCACCTCCCGAGGTGTTCTGACAGGCACCTCCGACGACCAATACTAATGAGGCGAAGCGGCCCTTGCCGGACGAGTAGAGAGCCAATCGGTGCAGCTGTCGGCTGAACCAATGAGGGCCCTCAGCGCCCCTGGCTGGGGCGCCTCCGGGGCGGGGGCAGGCACACAAAGGGGTCTGTGGTGGGAGTCCCTGGTAGTAACGAGGCTGCGGGGCACTAGGCCCCGGGATAGCCGAGGCCCCTCCCTCCGCGTCCGCTGCGGGTTCGTGGCTGAAAATCTAGGCCTCGCGCCGCCGCGTGGCCGCATCAGAGCCCGCCCCCTACGGTCCGCGCCGGTCCCACTCCGCCATGGCACTCCCGCCCGGGAGCCGGGGCTGCAGCGCCGGGAATCCAGCGCCGGGAATCCCTGGCGCTCCAGACACGCCCATCCTCACGCTCCGTTCCCTCTTTAGGTCATCGTTTTGGCTCTAGTTAGAGTACGATTTAAGACTGACTTGCCTCCTCGTTTTGCTGGAGAATTCTGTATAGAAAATCAGCCTTTGGAAGGATGTGCGAACTGCTGCTTTCTCTTTCAGGCTCCTTTCCAAACATCATTGATGGCAGCATGGATAAATCATCAAGTAGCCATGGCTCAAGAGCAGTGTGTAGCTCAAGTGTTACGGCAGGGACCTTTCCCCACCCGTTTTGGAGCTGATTAATATTTATTAAGTAGATAGGGCACTTAGGTCCATCTATGAAGCCAAAAGAGCTACGAAGGGGAAAGGGTTAATTGACTAATAACTGTTACTCTTCAACCTGTTTTTCTCACCTTTTACCCCTACTGGTTTTTTGCCTGTCCTCACCTTAATCCAAACCTACCTCACCCCACAGAAACATTCCCCTCTCCCTTGTGAACAGCCAGCCCTTACCTCCCGTTATGGTTCGCGTCTGGGTGTATCCCCCCAATGCTTCGTGCAGTCATGGGGCGGGCTTCGAGAGTTTATGATTGATTCATGGTCCAATGTCGGGATTATAAGTGTGAGGGCTACACCCGGCCTGGGGCAGGCAGTTTGCATGCAATATAAGGAACCGAAAGAGGCTGCTTACTACCGTCCCCGCCCCCTTTTGCTCTTGTTGCTTTTGCTGTCTTTCGCTGCCGTGAACTGTTGCCCTCTGCCATGTGCCACCTGCTTTGGAGCCAGCCAATATGGACTGAAACCTCCACAAACTGTGCGCTAAGTAAACCTTACCTTCCTTAAGTTTGGGCATCAGGTAGTTTGTCCCAGCAAGGAGAGAAAAGTAACCGAGACACTTCCCAACCCCAACCTCCGGCTGCCCAACCTTGGTGCGGGGGCGGGGGTGGGGGCGGCCAAGGTCAAGTGGTCTGCAGGATTTACAGATGCACTCCACTGGAGCACCGAGCATCTCAGAACCTATAAACCAAAATTTCATTACTGTTAACCTATTGTGGTTTGAAGGTGCCCCTCAAAAACCATGTGTTGAACTGGCACACTCTATAATCCCAGCACTCTGGGAGGCTGAGACAGAAGGGTTGTAAGTTCCAGGCCTATGTGAGCCACTTTTTAAAAACAGTACTGGGAAAAAATAAATACATAAAAAATAATAAAATAAAAACAGTGTTGGGGACTGAACCCAAGTCCTTCCCACTGAGCTAAAAGCCCCCATCCCCGCCCCTTTTTTGAAGCCAGGTCTCCTTAAATCGCTAAATTGTGCAGGACAGGCTGCAATTTGCAATCCTCCAATCTCAACCTCCCAGAATGCTGGAATTATACAGACTTACAAGTGCCCTGATGTCCACTTTCGTTAACATTTGTTAAGTACTCACCATGTTACCTCCTTAAGGGAGACACTTAAGGGTGAAGTCAGAGCAGAGACCCAAACGCTAGTGTAACTCCTGATTCCTCTCCATCATTACACTACACCAACAGAAGAGATTAATCAAAACTAGTAAAGTGCTGCATTTGGTGGCACATTCCTGTAATCCCAGTGCGCTGTAGGATCGCAAACTCAAGGCCAGTACAGGCAGTGTAACGATTTAGTGAGAGCCTGTCTCAAAAAAAAAAAAAAAGGGTGGGGGTGTAGTTCAGTGGGAGAGCCCCCTGGGTTCAACACCAAATACCACAAAGGAAAGGAAAGAAAGATTTAAATAAATCAACTTTTAAATCCAGGGAGGACTGTCAAATCTAATTTAAGAGTACTGAACACTTGGTCACAACATTCTGCCGTTCCGCAGCAAGGGAATTGCCTGGCAACTCCCCACTGGGACTTCAGTGCCCTCACCCACTGACACTAAATTCTGCAGATAGTCACAGGCAGCAGTAGTGGTTGATGCCTAAATTCCAGAAATCACATTCTAGGAGATGTTATATGTAACTCCTTTGAATTTTTTTTTCAGACATTTTCTCACTATGTAGTTTTCAAGCTGGCCTTGAAGTCACTGTGTAGCCCGAACAGATCTTGAATTCATGGTGATCCTCCTGCTTCAGCTTCCCAAGTGCTGGGACTACAAACCAGTACCACTGTGCCTGGATTGAATTCTAATTATGTTAAGGCTTTCTTATAGGCAGGCAGAAGAGCTATCTGGCACAAATCTTTTATGGAGGTTGTTACTCTAACCTTTTAACTAAAACCCATTAGAGTATAAGGTCCTGAGTTCAATTTCTGGTACAAAAAAAAAAAAAAAAAAAAAAGGAATTCTAAGATAGTATTATCCATATTCAAGTACAAGTTAAATGTACAAGTTCAAAAATCAGATTGTATCAGGAATGGGCGTCCTATTCCCAACTTCCGTGTGATTGGATGGAGTAATCATAATATTCACTATAGCTTGCATATGTTTTGGAAATTCAATAAACCACTACGAAATGGATATAAGCGAACTCCGTAATTAAATTCTCATTACCTTTAAGTTAAGATATCCATTAGACAAGGGGAATATGCTCTCTAGTCACCATTAATAATAAGCATAATATTTAGAGTTTTCCATTTACAGAGTTTCAAATACTGAATCTCATTACACATTTTTGCTGCATTTAGATAGTTTGATTTTATTTTATTTTTTGGTCTTTTTGAGACAGGGTCTTGCTATGCAGTTCAGGCTGACCTTGAGCTTATTTTGTAGCCCAGGCTGGTCTCAAACTCAGCAACAATCCTCCTGCCTCAGCCTCCCAAGTGCTGAGATTACAGGTGTGAGCTACCACACCTGGCAATTTGGATAGTTTGAAATTGACACACCCTTTGCCCCGTGACTCTCCTCCCTTCCTTCCTCCCTGGGTTCTGCAGTCCTTCCTTCTGGGTCCTTTCCCCATGTCCATCCGTATCTGTAGGATTCCATCCTTCCTTACATTTTCTCATTTCATCAGGGTCATCTCATTCCCCTTGTGTGGTTTTCCTGCTGTTACCATTTTCGCACTAGCTAGTCTCATTTCTTTTTCTAAAGCTCCACTTCTGGTTCTGAGCTCTGGACTTACATTTTAAAATGCCTGCTAGGTATATGATAACACATAATAGGTTTCTCAGACTCAGCAGCTGGCCTCTAGAGGTGATTTTTATCTTCAGCCACTGAATCCCTTCCTCACAGAGCTCTATCCACACCGTTCACTGGCGGCTCCTCCTGTCCTGTCTGCTGCCTCAGCACCTTTTCATTTGCTTTTCAGAAAACGCAGTACTAAGAATACTTTGCTGCCAGTCTACTCAGTGGGCACTCTGCTCAGATGTGGAGGTGGGGGTCTGGAGATGACCCAGGCCTTATGCAAGCTAGGCAAACGCTCTCCCACTGAACTGTGCCCCAAACCAGATGATATCTCTGGACGGCACCCTAAAAGCAGCCTCACTCACTCATTTTATTTCTCCATTGTACTAGTTACCACCTTGATATATATATAGATATAGATATAGATCTATACAGATATAAATAAAATCTTTACTGCCTTCTCCAAGCATAAGCTCACCAAGGACAGAATCTTTGTCTCATTAACCTTATGCCAAGCACATGAGTTGATGCTCCACAGACTTCTGCTAAATACCTTAATTAACTCAGAGCCTTTGGCACCATCCCACACTCTCCTTTGTGTATTCTGGTTCTGCAAATAGTATATTCACCCATCCAACCACTCACCTCAGAAATCTGGATTTTGGAAAGGAGGGCAAAGGGATGAAAAAAGGAGATATCTTACATGTACCAGCTCCCCATGGTGAATGTAATCACTATGTACTGCAAACATGTAGAAAGAAAGGAAGGAAGGGAGGAAAGAAGGAAGGAAGAAAAAAAGAAAGGAAGAAAAAGGAAGGAAGGAAGGAAGGAAGGAAGGAAGGAAGGAAGGAAGAAAAAAAGAAAGGAAGGAAGGAAGGAAGAAAAAAAGTCAAAGCAAGGGGTTTGGTTAATACAAAAATCTGGATTTCTCATAGGTTCTGACTCTGATAAATCCCTCATGGAAATGTTGGAACTGAACTGAAGCTAGAATAGAGTGGAGGCTGCCTGCTTCTCTTTCTGCTCTGGCTCCATGCTGTTCCGGCAATTCCCCCCAAACCATACGTCTGGCAGGCAGTCTAGCGTGCAGGTCCAAACTCTCCATCCGCCTCCAGCTCTCAAGGTATGTACAGGTAGGTTGATTTGCTCTCAAGAGAATGAACATGAAGATGAGGACTGGAAGTGGCTTGTTTGTTTGGGCAAAGAATTCCAAGGGCCTTGGTTGCTTGGAATTTGTGATCTAGACAAAGGAAGCCATGCATGGTGATGCATGTCTGTAATCCCAGCATTCTGGGTGGCCGAGTCAGCAGGAGGACTGCAAATTAAAGTCGAGCATATGCAACTTTTTTT